TAATTATATGTGATTTAAAAGTTTAATATTATAATTTTATACTGACAACAGATGCAAAATATGGATAACATACAGGGGTTTTATTACCAGTTACTGTACAACTACATAAAGTTCTAGGCAAAAAAAAATAACATCTATCCCCAAGCCGTGTCAGAAGGCAACAAATGGACCGTGAACAGGTAAACAGGTCATATCAGGTAATCGATTACAGGCACAGAACTAGCGCAGAAGTGTCCCCTTGTTGCTAAAAAACAGATAATTATGTCGCATGCCTGATTTCCCTATTCAAAAATAATTTTCAAAATAATTTACATTTTTGTGTCACGTACGCGTGACAGCTTAAGAAGGGGGTATGTTTCCAGGATTCAGTCAAGTAATTTATTATTTACTAACTTTACTTCCCCTATTTTCCTACCTTCCCCATTTGATGAGGAACTGTCACTCATGCTGGACTTTGATACGTCCGATTTCTATCTTTGTAGCATAGGGAAACCCTCAGTTCAAACTCCAAATTGATGTCCTATTTATGGAAAGAACTTATAACTTCTTGGGCCTCCATAGTTAATCACGTGGTCTATCACATGGCGGATGAATGTAATTGCAAAGTTTTCTCAAACGGCTTTATTTATCCGGAATAATTTTTTAAAAAAAAAGGGGTAATTTTTTTTGTCTGGTGTAATATTCATCAAGCAATTTTTAGTCAAACAGAACAGAGAGGGGTTCAGATTTCAAATTAAATAAGATTTCTTAAGGAAATTAAACTCAATATGTATGTATCTTCAAATTATAATTTGAATCAAGGATCCATTAAGATTTTATAGAACTATCACAATGAGACCACAGGAGTCAGCAGTTTTATCATTAAACCAGTGTAAACACATCCTGTGAGCTTTGCAGGTTATACATGTATATGTTTACACTGGTTTAATGATAAAACTGCTGACTCCCCTTGCAGAAATTATTCCTGACTTGAAAATGCTTCTCAGGAATTCCTAAGATGTCCTAAGAATTCCTAAGATTTCCTCACAATCTGATTTGAGGAAATCCTAGGAGTAACAATCCTGGGATTTGATTTCAAGACATCCTAGGATCTCCCAGGACTTCTTTGTTAAACATTTCAAATCCAAATCTTGCCAGGACATTTCATTGTAAAGCCAGGAATTAATCATTTTTATGATAATCCCATTTCCTAAGACTTTTGACTTAATGTTGGGACTTTTGTAAAAAAGAAAAATTAAACTTTACAAACTTGTACATGTTAATAAATGTTAAAACAGAATGACAGGAAATCTTATTACTTTTAAAGTTTTAATGTATAATATTAAGAAAATCATAAAATGAACAATTTTCAATCATTACATATTATACTTGATACATAGAAAGACACTAACTCTAGAACTATTTTTTAAATTAAATATTTTCTGAAATATTGATGCTGTCAGGGAGGAGTTATACATGTAATATGTTTTAAAGAAAAAATTGTTTACAGACAAACAATATTTCACCATTTTCAAATCACACATTTCTGAGTTGATTTTTATCCATTAGAATTAAATTCTACACTTAATCTTTAGATTGCTTCGTTCATGGGAAACTGAGTGCAAGTATAGTTTTTTTTCCCGAAAGCACTGGTCATACAAACTTGGCCATCTTGCAATACAACTTCAAGTATTAATACAACTTTTTCTTTCTATGTAGATTGTAGAAGTAATATTTTCCAGAATGTTTCACTGAAAATAAAGTGTTCCTCTTAATTTAAAGTTGGTTTTCAAATGGCTTTGAATTCAGAAGACCATACATACAGAAGGATGGAGTGGTAAATTTTCTTCATCTGTCAATTTAATTTTTCACTTCGCATTTCATTTCGACAAAATAAAACATATTTTCCTCAGAGCACGTTATAAGAAATGGCTCTCCTATACCGTCATCACCTGCGTACAGGTTATATATCTCTCAGGTGGTTACCAAACTATCAGCTTCAAAGTCACATGCCTGGCTAGAAGTATCTTTTTTTTGTATCTTCTTCTTTATCAGTGTCATTTGGTTCATCAAACTGTCTTTGACTTTACTATCTTTAACATCTTCATCCAAATCTGTATGATTTCGCTGTATGTTCACCCATAACTGTCAGAGATACTATACAAAAGAAAAGTAAATATTGAGTCATTGAAAGAAGAGTACACTACACAAATTTAAATACTACATAAACAGCATACTCAAGAAGCATGACTTGGTCTGTGACATCATACTTTCATCACTTTCTGACTTAAAAAGGAATGCGGGTGGGTACGACCCGATTCCTTGTTCGACCCGCGTGGTTTCGACCCTTTTCCTTGTTCGACCCGCGTGGTTTTGACCCGAGTGGTTTCGTTCCGAAGCAATATTAATTATAACAATTTCGATAGTTTAAAAACATTTTTTGGGGTCTAATTCAAAATATTATGTTTATTTAAACCATTTAATATACATGTATAGACCATAAATTCGTATATTATCCCACAAAGGGCTGATTAGTTTTTAAGGAAAAATGTTCAAATATAAATTATTTATATATTTCAAATGATATTAATTGCATCCTTGTCCTAAAAACAATCTCAAGTTTACTATTGACTTCAATGTTGACAACCAATAATTGACACGTATCCCTCCCTGAAGCCCTACAGCTACCGTGTAACCATGTGTATACCTAAGGTATACACCATACCTTATAGTGTGAACCCTTCTGTTTACCTGTATGTATATAATTATAAGTAGGTCGAAACCACTTGGGTCGTTACCACGCGGGTCGAACACGGAATCGGGTCGTAACCACTCGACACCCTTAAAAAGCTTGGTATTTCAAATTTTGTTGGGTTAGAATCGTGTTGTATTGAGTTTGAGAATATAATTCCTCATGTTTTTTGATATTGAGTATTGCTTTTATTTAACGAGGAAAATCTAAAATACGCAGTAAAACTAATAGAGTTTCCTGAAAATTTTATCCACATAAACAGTGATAAAAAAAAACTTTTCAAAGGTTTTGACCAAATTCGAGTCGTAACATAACTATTAAATACGATAAAAATGAGCTTTCCTTATAGGCTTTATCGCCGGATATACTAATTTCCATTCATCATTTAGCAATAAGATACTTACAGACATCGTGACAGGCTTGTAGATGCGAAGAAAAGTCGTTGTTTACAGCACAATGTGACAACTTCACGATCCGCCATATTTGTGTTTGGACGGTTTCCATGCAAATTGTTCTTGGCCTAAATGTATCATTGTGGTTCTTCGAAAATATTTTCTTCTGTAACACTTTCTGTTAGTAGAATTGGTTGATCAAGGATATTTATATTTTATTTTTCTAATATTCGGTTCGTTTGTCACTGATAATAACTTACGTGTTTTTCTTAACAAGACTCTCGGTAAAATGTCGGGATATTTCTTAAAGGTGTACAAAATACCCCTACACCGTGTCTTCAGCATTCTCTCGCTCGAACTTCCGAGAGGTGGTGCAAAAAAAGTGATCTTCGATCAATTAGTACCCGGTGTATAAAATATATTTTACTGTCAACTCAGCTTTGAATATTAATTTGTCAATAAATATTCTCTAAAATATTTTTTCTTTTTGTAAAAAAAAATACAAAACGTAAATTCACATTAATCACAAATTATTTTCAAGAATAAACAAACCGCATTTTCTTGGTGTGGCACGAAATAACTTTACACCGTCCTGTATCATCCTCTCGCGAGACTTCATCGAGAAGCGCAAAATAGGGGTAACACGAATCACCGGAATGCCCCGTAATCACCGAAATGCCCTTACAAATCACCGAAATGCCCAACAAAATCACCGAAATGCCCACACATATGTTTTTACATGATGTTTTTCATAAAAATTAATTCTTATTTTTATCATTAAAGTATAACTGACGGTAAAATTAATTATTTTCAGGTTTTGTGCTCGCCTACTTCAAAGGGCGATAACTCGTATTTGATGATAATTTTCTAGGAAGCGAAATCAACGTAGCCTAATAGATATATATATAATAATAATGATATTTCTCAGAAAAAAAATGATGACAAATGATTGTGACCCGTCACCGTTATTGTTTCATGACCTTTGAATAATATAATGTTAAAATATGGTCTGTATAGGTTCCTAATCTTAATTTTTATAGTCAAGTGCATATGCTATTATTACAGATACTTATTTCATACGTACACTGTTTTTTTTTTTAAAACTAGTTGAAGTTTTGGGGAATTTTGATTTATTTAAGTTTTTTTATTAAATGTTTGTGTTCTTTTCTTTTTTTTTCTTTCTTCCTTTTTAATTGAATTTTTGTGAACCAGGTTGGACAATTTATACGCCTGCCGACGCCTGTCTGGGGAAATACATGTAGGTCTGGCGGTAAAATCTAAATACCCGTCATTATTTATGGAATAAATTTATCTTTTATGAAATATATCTGATTTTAAGGACTATAAAGTTTATGTTTTACCAAACAAAATGAGAGAGAGAAAGAGAGAGAGAGAGAGAAGATACCGCCCAGATAGCATGAGGACATTGGCCCAACGTTGGCAAAACAATGTCGGTTATGTTGGGCCAATGTTGGCAGTTTTACGTTGGCCCAATGTCCTACTGCTCATTGGCGCGCCGTTGGCCCAACATGTTGGGCCAATGTTGGTACAATGCTGTTTGTTCATTTGTCAACGTTGGTACAACGTTATTCCAACATACCAACGCCAACGCAATATTTTTTTAACGTTGGCCCAACGTTGGACCTCAGTTCAAAATATAGTCATGACGTTGGTCCGACGTTGGTCCAACGTTGGTACAACGCTTTTGTTGAAATGCCAACGTTGGTACAACGCTATTCTAACGTACCGATGCTTACCAAATATTTTGTAACGTTGGCCCTATATTGGACCTCAGTTCAAAATATAGTTATTTCGTTGGTTCAACGTTGATACAAAGCTGATTCTTAAAATATCAATGACACAATTATTCCTCAATACAAAATTAATTAAATTCTGTAATTTTATTTCCCAGATTATACGACACAATTAATTTCACCATGTTTCGTCAAATCCGTTTTTCCTCCTATAATGTATCACAGTGTATTCTTTGCCACTTTCACTTTCATTAAAGTATTCCATGGAATGTAACTAAAAGAAGGAAGAGGTAGAAAGTTCAATGTTTCTCAAGTACACTCCACTTCACTATGTCCACTACAAAATATCACTTTGATATAAGAGTCTTCAAGTTCTAACTGTAGAGTTTGCATCACTTATCACTTTTTCTGTTGTTTATCTGTTCTTAGAATCCATGTTTCCCGCACATATAAATCAGTCCCTTCCATATACAGAAATGCCACATCAATAGTCTCAGAGTGAAGAGGGTTTTTCCATCCCGGCAATTCCTGCAAACGTCAAGATTGTCATCAATTAAAATAGTATTTTCAAATGTTCATCACACATTTTTTTAAAGCAATCCTTAAAGTTGAATTTCACATTAGTAATTATTAATAAATACAAAAAAGTTACTTACATTTCACTGGTTAACATTCTTGCATTCACTTACAGATCCGGACAAATCTGCTCTGTTCAAGCCCGCCAATTCCTATAAAAGTTAAGGTCGTCATCAAAAACAATTGTTTAATCAGCTACCCGGCACCAGTAATTTGAAAGCCTACATGTAGGCCATTACAATGTTGTGTATTTCACATTATTAATTATTTCAATAACAAAAACAAAAGCTATACTTACATTGAAAGGATTAAAATTCTTGCTTTCACTTAAACAGACACATACGCTTTGAATTGTTAAAGTGCGCGGTTAAAAAAAACTGATTTAAAGATGACGGTTTCCTTGGAGACCTATGAGTCACCTGCCGAGCCAGTGAATTTCACCAGTGACCTATTTATTTTAGAGCCTAAAATTTGCAAAACATAGCACTTTAAATTTGATTCAATGATGCTAAATATAGAATCTACCAAGATATAAAATTACGATATGTATTTCACAGATTTATAAGGATTGCCTCATAATTTCCATTCATTATATAATATAGATCACATGTATATAATGGGTTGCTTATTACATTATCATCGATTTACAATAGATAAATCTAAATTGATGAAAACTTTTCGCAACATTGGGCCAACGTTGGACCAGAATTTCATCTCAAACATTACAGGCTACCTGTACATGTACTAGTAATCCCAGTATTCCTACTATTGGACCAACTCCAGTTCAGTCAAGCACGCCCAACACAAAGCGATGCATCATTATATTGTCAACATTTATTAAGCTGGGCCAACGTTGGGCCAACATTGAATAGCCAACAATAAGTAGCAATGTTTTGCCACTAACGTGTACTCAGTAAGACCTACGTTGGGCCAACATTTCATATTTAACACACAATGGTCTTAATCCATGTCAACATTTACTCGGTTGGACCTATGTTGGGCCAACATCTTAATGTCCAACACCAAATCGCTATGTTTCTTGACAACATGTAACTACAATGGGCCAATATTGGGCCAACATCACATGCCCAACACCGTTGGTTTAGCTTTCATGCCAACGAAAATGAACGTTGGACCAACGTTGGGCCAATATCACATGTCCAACACTATTTGTTTAGCTTTCATGCCAACGTAAATGAACGTTGGACCAACGTTGGGCCAATATCACATGTTCAACACCGTTGGTTTAGCTTTCATGCCAACGTAAATGAACGTTGGACCAACGTTGGGCCTACATCTGTTCCCCAACGCCAACACTCCACCAACCATACAACCAAAAACCAACGTTGGCCCAACGGAGTCATGCTATCTGGGCGGTAGACCAACTCCTGTGATAATTTACGATCGACATGAAAAATTTTTCCAAAGACAAATGCAATCACAAAAGGAAAAAAAAGTTTTTAAACTCTGTACTGCGTTAATCAATGAAAATGTTTTCATTTTTTAAAATAATTATTTATTTTAATTTGTTACTTGATTAGATACATTGTCAGTCAGGTCAATTACGGATCTTTTCTTTTGTATATTAGCGATTATTTCGGAAGTAGCAAGTGCTTGATAAATCATGTAATGTGTGTATTAAACCCATTCAACAACTTAAAAAAAATAAAGGTAAATTGTCAACTTTTACTATTTCATTTTCAATTGATGTAGTAAACTGTTCATTAGCAAAAGATACCCTTTCCTGTGTTTGTATAGCGCACGTGCGTAATTTCGGTCACTGATTGTCATGTACCTGATGATGTAACATGACATAAGAATACTACACACCTGTCACTAGATCAATTATTTAATCACTGTGTATACACAGTAAACATAATTAGTATTTCAGATATCCAATTGTTTCAAACCAATTGAACATTGAACACAATAAAATCAAATTAATTTTGTCTTCGTTCTATTTTTTTTTAATCTTTTATAGTAAAATATGAAACTTCCAAAAAAGTTTGTCATCTTATATATACAAGAATGAAATAAATTTATAATTTTTATAGATTTTATTAAATTTCTTTCATTTGCAGTTCTTTTCTGTGCTGAAATGAAAAAAAGTGTATAATGATTTATTTTCCTCACAAATAGTGTGAACATAATATAATTTCATTAATTTACGAATTAGATCAGCAAAACTTGAATTCATACATCATGTACATGTAATATTTATAATACACTATCAACCCTTGTAAATTAAACAATGTACGTACCAGGGACATATATAAGTCCCTGATTATACCAAGCATATATTCTTATAGTTCAGTGAATAAAAAATAAATTTTGATTAAAGTCATATATGACATATATTTTTGTTTATATACTATAAACGTAAAATCTTTCTATTTGATAATAAATGTAACTTAATATATACATTGTTAATAAAGAATTTTCCAGTAAAATTACACACGTGTCCTCCTTTTTTAGAAATCAAGAAAATACGTCAATAATATTACAAACAATTTTTTTTATCAAGAATAACTTATTGTTTGGAATATATTTAATCGAAAAATATGGAAAATTAAAATAAATAAAACTACTTTGGCACGTGTCTTTAATCAGTGAGAGTTATCTTTCTTTGATACTTACATGCACATATCTTCAAATAAAAATACTTATGCTAAAATTATGAAATTTTTACTTGGTATCTAGGCTTTATAACAGTTATTTTCATCAATATTTATTATTTTTTTGTTTATTCTTAACAATATAAGGGGCTTTTCGGTGGCATTTCGGTGATTTCTTGGGGCATTTCGGTGATTACAGGGCATTCCGGTGATTCGTAGTACCGGCAAAATAGGAGTTCAAGGAGCGGCAATGTTTAGAGAGACTGGTGAAATGTAATGAAATGCACAACTTACGCCCAAGATTGACTCTAATTCTTCACATAAACCATGTTCTATTTCCCAAAAATCTTGGTTTCGCTTGGAGTGCAGTTAAGGGAATGTTGGAAGTAGTGTAGATATCATGGCCACAGGCCAGTGGGGTAAGTCGCGAGTGGTTCCTTGTAATATGTATTTAAACACACAAATATTGTTTAATAATTAATGCATGTGATGTGTTGTATAATATTTCAATATTGAAACAGAAGAAACGATTTGAATATGTGTAAAAGGTTTTTGGGCATACTGTGATTCAGTCTAGTCCATGAAGATCAAACGTACATACACAGTGAAATATTTTCAGGTTTTACATGTTAAAATTTAGTAAGCAGAAGACTTATAAACAAATATTTATTATCAGTTATTGTTAAATTTGCATTGAATGTTTTGACATGGTGTAAATTTTGGAATTATACTCTTAAATAAAGCCTTCATTGCATTATCTTCTAGCTAGAACCTTGAAGCCTGGCAAGGATTATGAGACTGGAAACTCCCATTGAGACTATCAAATGAAGAGAGAGTTTCAGGTATCTTGTAATCTTTTTTAAAATTTTCTTTTGTAAACTTGAAAGAATAGACGGATTTCACATTCCTAAGTGTTATCTCCGCTTGTCGGCGTAACACTCATTTTCCCCACTTTGTCCTTTGTAAGTTACCTGGAAATATTTTTATTTACAGACATTTATATCTATCAATATCAGTCTGTAACTGTATTGCCAGAACATGGAGCAACTTTAAAAACGTATTGAACAAATTCATACATACTATATTTCTGAGATACTGACCCATAAAGTTGGTAAGGTAATAGAGGGGAAACAGTGTCTTACGCCGGTTGACCCTGGATTGACCCCTCAAAGGGGAATAACTTTTGTAAATGTGAAAGTCGTGTATGAAAGTTTATGGTACGTACATTTCAATCTCTGTAGCTTATATTAAGTTGGGAAAACTGATGCAGATGTCGTAGAACTCATAAGATAATATTCGCAAAATTTAGAACAGAAAAATGAAAAAATCAGCAAGAAATATCAATGACAGCCATCATTAAAATTAATTTCAGTTAGAGTACAAAAGAAGAAATATATACACGTCTTATAAAAAATTTTATTGATAACTTTGCAGACTGTTTAACTCGGACTAAGGGAAAAGAAGCAAATTACAACAGAGAATATTGCCGAGGAAGGTAAGCTGTTCAAATAATGTTAATGTATGATTTTAATGTTCTGTTCACACAGAGAGTTTAATTCACAGTATTTTAATGCCAAGTAAATTGACTTCATACGACAGCTGTGGTAAAGCGGTTAACTATTGCAAATTAAAATTTTATTTTCTACAAAAAGGCTATTCAGTAAGATTATAATGACATCATTTGTAAATCACGTCATGTATGCAATTGATTAACATACCTTATTCCTTATGCAAGTGTGAATAAAATAAATCTCTTGAGAAAAATGGTTCATCTTACTTGGGCAAACACATATTTTTATGGACTGTTAGAATCTGAAAGCTTTGTACATGTAGCATCTTTGGCTACTAAATTTTACAAGAAGTTTGATTTTCATCCCCTTAGAAATAATTACATATTTAGACTAAACAATGGAATACATTAAGTAAAATTTTATTTTAGCAAAGACAAGTGAAAAGTCGAGTGAAGAAAAAGCAAACAAGGCTTCACGATCTGCAACTAGGCCACTGGCGATGAAGAAGTAAAAATGTACAGCTAAAGAAGATACATCAGTGATCAACTAAAGCTGGGTGACTTATATTGGATTGACGAGGTGCAGGGGGGGGGGATATTAATTTGGGTCTTTTTATCTTTCTGTTTGTCAATCTGACTGTCTGTAACACTTCGTTCTCTTAACATTTCCAAAAAGCCATCAGATATTGCAATGACATTTTATATTATAACTCATTTTGACGATCCCACTGCAGAACATGATTAATCATCAATAAAAATTTAATATTGTTTATAAATTAAATATTACCCTTATATATTTTGAAGTGAAATGGTCAGAGGTCAAGGCCTCTTTCGGGCTCACATATTGTTTTTGCCTGTCTGTTTATCTGTCTATTGCCAAATTACCTTTTGCCATAACTTTTGAATCATGAGAGATATAGATACTTCATATTGGGTATGCTTACTCCACTTTCAAATGAGACCAATGACCTTGACTGTCATCGTTATGCTAAAATATAGCCTTATTGAATATTTTACTTTTGAACCATAAGAGGTAGAGATTTTATATTGAGTATCCATACTCCACTAATTAAGTTCTTTCAAATTACATCAAGGTTAATGACCTTGTGACTTTGACCAATATGTTTTTTTTTTTCAAACTTTGTTGCCACCAGGTGCATACTGTTTTTGTTCTTTTTATGGGGGGGGGGGGGTGAGTGTTATGAATTACTTCTGTTTGGTATCTGAATCTTTTATTGTACAGAATTCTTCAGAAGTGACAAACCCAGAGGGCCTCACCCCTACTCTCTACACTAGGTTGTTGATTTAAATATTTTTTTTATTATTATTAATATTTGTCATTGTACATGTATATTATAAATATTCTATGAGACTGCTTCAGAATGTATCAACATAGTTTGAAAATAGGACAATCTGCCCCCCCCCCCCCCCCCCCCCCCCCCCCCCCCCTTGTGTGTAAATCATGATGTTGAATCATAACTGCACTATAATGTTACAGCAGTAAAATTTTAAAGAATTTGTTGTATCAGACACCATCAGCATTTTTTAAAAATTATTTTATGTATTATTTTTTCTGTGTGGCCATGAATTTTTATAATGCATACATTCATTAAATTTTTTTCAGAGATCTAATCATTCTGCTTTGTTGCTATGTATGATTTTTAAAAAAAAAAAAAAAGATGTCCTAGGAGGCTAGGATATCCTAGGAAATCCTAGGAATTCCTGATTTCCTAGGACATTTTAAGTGTTGGGATTTTCCTGGGATATCCTGGGAAGTCTTGGTGTTTTGATTCCTGGGATTTTTCTAGAACCCCTGAATTGGGACTGTCCAAGGAAATCCCAGGAATTCCTGTTCCAAAAACATCTCAGGAAATCTTAGGAACAATCCTAGGATTTTTTCAAGATATCCGAGGAATAAATCTTGAGATTGTCTTAGGATTTCTTAGGACATCCCAGGAATATTCTGCAAGGGTCCTGTGATGAGGCCAATAATATCACACATTGATCAGCTAATAAAAAGGGCATACTTTAAAAAAGCTCCTAAAAATGTATACCATCTAGGAAATATTTATATCTACATGTATAAAAATTGAAATTTTTGTTGCTTGAAACTTTTTAAAATTATTACAAGACGGACGGTTTCAGGGCAAGGAGCACACTGCCAAAGTGACCGGTCTACAGGGGATGCTCACTTGAGCTTGATCTTGAATACTCTGGCTTTCTCCATACATTTCATTAAATTTAGAATGTAACATCAGTGGTCATAACAAAAGCAGCCTAGAAGAAAAATGTGACAAATAAGAATAGGATTCAAATCCAGTCCCTCTGAATCAGTACCTATATATTGAACCATCTGGCCACTCTGACTATCATATCTACCTCACTGACTTCCACATTCCTGCCCACGCTCTTCCATGGCAGGTCTTTCTCTGCAACTTTCATGGCATAGTTTCTGCATCAAATGTACATGGTACGGAGAAAACTTAATGTGACAAACCAGACCAGGAGTGATACAAACCCATCCCCTGAACCACTAGTCAGTTGCTACACCATCTGAGATACCTGGTATATTCCAACCATCTGTCCATCTAATTATCACTTCAGCATTAGACAGGCCATAGTACAAGATCAATTCATTTAGGGAGTGGGCTAAAATAGGTTGCGCCTGTTGCCCAATCCTATTCACAATAACATCTGTGAATAAAATATTGTTTAAAGTTAAAGATCAATTCACTGCTGACTACTTTTTTCCAAATGTTACATCTCGTTCCGATACAAAAGCTCTTTTTTTTTTAAATTTCACATTTTCCAAGACCCTGAGAATTTCTACACCTTTGAACCCTTTGACTTTCCTAATGCTTCTAATATTCTTCCATTTATTAGGTCTATTTATAACACAATATTAAACCTTCAACTCATATAAATAACCCCTTCACACGGTGAAGACATAAATATTGTCATTAACTACTTTGGTTTAAAGTGTCTATTCGTTTCCATAGGTAGTATGGATAAGCAAATCAAAACAACTAGGCAAACAGAAACATTTTATTAAAACATAAAAAAGCTGTGTACCAGTACACTATAATTTAATTAAAAGCTGGATGGTTATGCATCACACTTCAGTAATTGTTTTAGCACTATTCTGTCAGATCTTAAGGGGTGACAAGCACACGGTGGAACAACCTTTCAACATGATACTCCAAATGTTTTATATTGTCTGTTTATGATCATAATGGTGTATAACAAGAATGACTTTGATCTTTCACTTAGGTCTGCTTTATATCAAGTCTTCAGTTATTTGGTCACTTCATGTATAGCTTTGGCTAGATAATCAACATTATGAGATGACACGCCAGCTACTGAAATCCTTCCATCCTTGGTAAGGTAAATGGAGAATTCTTTTGTGAGTCTCTCAACCTACAAGATAGAAAGTATATGAAATTGACTGTCATTTTGTTTCTATTCATACATGTATATCACCAGACAGATTTCAGCATTTTATATTGACATTCATCCACTGAAACATAAAATTAAGTCAGCTGACATGATCTTGAATATTACACAATTTAATTTGTTTACTTATTATTGCAAAACCCAAATCTTAATAATGTTTTAGCATGTTTGAAATAAAGTTGGACTTTAAATTTATATTAATGTGACCTTATTTCTTCTTGACAATTTTTGAGAGAATTTTTAGAGAAGCAAATATTTCCACAAATTTTCCAATGACAACTTCACTTGCTATCATAGAATTTTAAATTCCCTTACACCACATATTTTTTCATTTAAAAAAAAAAAAGAAGAAATAATTGGCCTGACCTGGTCGGGCTTGAGTCCAGTGAAGCAGAACATGCCAATCTGGTCCGTGATGTGCTGCCAATTCTTGCTGGATCCCTCCCTGGCCAATGAAGCCACCAGTGCCTCCCTCATGGTGATGATTCGGTCAGCCATTCCCTTCACTTCTTTGAGCCTGAAAACAGCCATCAGTCATATTCAACTTGGTATATACCCGTAATAGACACTTTAAAACATTGTTAAATTTGGCAGTGATAAGTGTTTAATAAATTTGGGGTTGGTGAAGTTGCTCCACTACTCATCTAAATAATTTGTCAAATTTTGCCACCGAATTGCAAAACATCTGCATTATTTTATTCTGGGTTTGTGCATATTTCTAAATTTCAAAAAAAAATTTATTTTGGCTCTAGCAAAAAAAATTAATGTAAGTTTCTCTATCAACATTTCAGATTTTGTAATAAGAGTTAACTGTATAATCTGGTTTTACCTATAAAATTAGTTGGTTTATAGAAATTAGATAAAAAAAACTCATGGTCTTTCAGCTCTGCTAACTTATAACCAAAGGTAGATAACCTACATTTTGAGTCAACTGTCAAATTTTTAAAGCACACACCTGTTTATTCATGAATCTCTGATACCCTTTATCAATAATTTTGCTACTGTAATGTCAGAAAATATCTACATGTATAAAAGATTTGGGTACAAATGGCAAACAATATTTAAGTTGACAGGGGACAATCCTACCATAAATTTTTAAGATCTGGATTAGTGAGGACTCGGGTGACGATCCTGGCTCCGTGGATGGGAGGGCTGGAGTACATTCCCCTGATGATGATCTTCATCTGCGACATATTCTTAGCAGCCTCCTCCTGAGATCCACAGACAATGGTGAAGGCTCCAGCTCTCTCTCCTAAAATTAAGATATAAAAAAAATATTAATTTAATACTCTAGTTTTTGCCCTTACAGTATTTGCCTGCTCTGGAATGATTTTACTCAAAACTTTTTCAAAGATGTTCTTTTCCAACTCTCTAAAAATTACAAAACTTTTAGCAAAAAACAAAATGGGTTCTTTTGAAAGGGGAAAAAGTTTACCATATAACCCCATGTTCTTTGCATATGATTGAGCAAGGGCAACCTCATGTCCATCTTCTATAAACTGTCTCAGAGCGAAGGCGTCTTTGGTTGTGTCTCCACTGGCAAAGCCTTGGTAGGCCATGTCAAAGAATGGGAACAGATTTTTCTTTTTTATCAGGGAACTCATTTCTTTCCATTGCTCTGGCTATAAAATGCAACAAAATTTGAATCATGAGGCACAGTTATGCATACTTTTTTATATGCATGTATGACAGATAAGTATAAGAAAATGACATAACAACTTGATTTGATTCCATACCGTGTGTTATACTACCACTTTAGTTGTTTAATTCATACTGTATACACCATGAATTTTTACAAAGTTAGGGAATATAGAACTTTAATCGAAATCAAAATTTATTGAAATCGAACATTACATACCCTTGGATCCACTCCTGTTGGATTGTGAGCACAGGCATGTAAAACTATGACACTGCCCTCTGGGATTTTCTTTAAAAAAAAAAATAATAATAATAATAAATTGCTTTCGGAAATTTTTCTTTACTAAATCTGAAAAGAAAGATTTTTTTTTTACACAAAAGAAGATTTAGATTGATGTATATACATATATCACACAATTTCAGCAAATAAATCTTTTCTAATCAAGATTGTTGCCGATATTCAACTTGCATCAACTGATGAGGTCAACAAAAAAATCAGTATGAAAAAAACATATACCCGGTATATATAAATTATGTTAATCTGCCACTTTTCCCCTAAAATATGGATAAAAATCTAGAATTTCTTCTTGATATAGTATGACCTACTTAGTATAATTGTGTACTGAAAGAAAAGATCTGAGTCAGTCTTCTTCACTGAATAAACTTTCACTTGAAATTTCAGTAAAGTAGTACATTGAACTTTTATAAAGACCAGTCTGTTAAAATACTCTGTTTTCTCCAAGTTTTAAACCTACCGAAATGTCCTCCATAGCACCTGCAAAATCGAATCCACATGTGCTGGGGTCATAATATCTGTATGATTTCACATCCAAAC